GGGTTTTTATCTATTTTCAGTGACTTTTTATGCTTGTGTGTAAAATAATTAATGTTGTCGTCGTGTTTTTTTAAAACGAGTTTTACTTATAAAAGACGTTTGTCTAACTTTTCTTTTGTCTCCACTGCGGACACGTTCGTCGTCTGTCGTCGTCTGTCGTATATTTGCTCCGCATCATAACGGTTGTTTTGTGTTAGCATATTTCGCATGATTCTCATCTAGAACGTCGTTTACTGATTGCCGGAAGGTCCTGGGAACTAAACCCGCCCAGAAAATGATTTTTTGTGGGAAAGGTCCTGGGAACTAAACCCGCTTCAATATGATCTTAAGATGCGAGAAAGGTTCTGGGAATTAAACTCGCCCCAAAATGATCTTAAGTTGCGAGAAAGGTCCTGGGAACTAAACTCGCCCCAAAATGATCTTAGGTTTTGAGAAAGGTCCTGGGAACTAAACTCGCTTCAATATGAACTTAAGTTGTGAGAAAGGTCCTGGGAACTAAACCCGTTTCAATATGATCTTAAGTTTTGGGAAAGGTCCTGGGAACTAAACTCGCCCCAAAATGATCTTAAGTTGCGAGAAAGGTCCTGGGAACTAAACACACGACAACATATCGACAAGGTTCGAAGAATGCCTTTAGATAAGATCACATTAAGTTAGAACAATATGAAATATTAGAAACTTAAAGAGTACAATTTTCTTATGATTTTGATATATTTTCTCCACTTAAAATGACAGGTTCGCACGTCGATAAAACATCTAAAACTATGAATATATTTATATGTAGATATAGATATATGGATACCATGTTTGAACGCATAGATAATTTCTGACCGTAGTGTTGAATAATTTAGAGACTTTTTACTTTTCATAATTACGGGTATCAACCGGAAGTGTTATGTTAGTCAATTGTCTCAACTTCATCGTCCGTAAATAAAGCACGAACTGAAATATAGTAACGATAAAAATCGCCATCTTCACATTAATAAGTGTGAAAACGATGACAATTTTCATATTTCCACGCAGTTGCGAAGCCAGCTTCATCTTTTACTCCTAATATGATAATTTTTCATCAAAAGTATTATTCATTTCTTTAGAAAAGTATTTTCGTTCAATGTTTTCTCAGTGAACGAGCGCAGTTTACACGGTGACGTGTGACGATAAATGGTGACGGTGTTCGTTGTGGTAAAATAAGAACTCGAGAGCGTTGCTTGAATAATTTTTTGGCAATAACTTTTATTTTATTTGTTGGTTGTTTTGTCGATTACCAAAAACAGGCAATATCTTTGCCCTTTTCATACAGTAAATCGAAGTAATTTTAGTGAATTTGATTTTGGGCCGTTTTCAAAACTTTTAATTAAACTGCCCCGAATCTTTTTAATATCATCCATGAGTCGACGACAATAGCCTTTCGTTATCTTCGTTGTACGTTTTGCACTTGTTAATTTCCCATAATGCAATGCATGTCGCCATTTTTTTCACGGTAAACTCAAAACCCTTCGTTGCGACGATTTTTTGCGTGTTCGACTTTATTCGTTGTACGCTTAGTACCTGTTGATTTCCCCTAATGCAATGCGTGTCGCCATTTTTTATCACGGTTATTTCAAAACCCTTCGTTGCGACCACTTTTCGCGTGTTCGTTGCGACCACTTTTCGCGTGTTCGTTGCGACCATTTTTCGCGTGTTCGACTTTCTTCGTTGTACGTTTTCTACTTGTTGATTTCCCATAGTGCAATGCGTGTCGCCATTTTTTATCACGGTTAACTCAAAACCCTTCGTTGCGACCACTTTTTGCGTGTTCGTTGCGACCATTTTTTGCGTGTTCGACTTTCTTCGTTGTACGTTTTCTACTTGTTGATTTTCCATAATGCAATGCATGTCGCCATTTTTTATCACGGTTATTTCAAAACCCTTCGTTGCGACCACTTTTTGCGTGTTCGTTGCGACCATTTTTTGCGTGTTCGACTTTCTTCGTTGTACGTTTTGTACTTGTTGATTTGCCATAATGCAATGCGTGTCGCCATTTTATATCACGGTTATTTTAAAACCCTTAGTTGCCACCATTTTTCGCGTGTTCGACTTTGACCTGTATTTAAAATTATCTGTTTCAGCTCGAGACGTTCTCTGGCGTGTACAAAAAGTTAACTGGAAAGGACGTCGTGTTTGAGTTTCCCGCTTACGATTAATAATTGAATAAATATTTCAAAATATTCTTGTTCATGTGAATTTGTGTTGTTGTTTGTGATCACCTATCCAAAAAGCATACCAAACGATGTTTTTTATCAATTGTTGCCACTATTAAGCTGACAGTTTATGTTTTCATTAGGGTAAACTCTGTTGAGGAGTTTTGAAGAAAATACTTGCAAGCCATGAAGATTTCGAACTAGATTTACAAAATCGTGAAATTAGTTTGTTGGTGCAAGCATTGCTAAAGCAACTGCGATACTTTGCCTGCTCCATTAACGGATAAAAGTACTCTTAAATAAGTTTCATTATTATATTCTCGACAGCGAAAGTTATCCCCCACCGCAGCAGTTAATGCAAGTCGAGACTATTTTTAGCTTACGGAGTCTTAAGAGTTAATGCATTTGAATAGAACATGTTTCCATTCGAAAATCGTTAAATTGTTATTGCTAATCTGTGAAATAAGTTAAACTGTTAATTCTAGTTAATGATTGATAATGAAGCATGTCTTAATGTAAATATCAGAGCCCAGCGAGGTGCTTTTAAAAGAGCCATTTAATACAAAATAACATATAAAAAGAATTATTTAGAAGCGTAACGTTTCGTCTTGTCTTCTAAATAAATATTTCTTTATATATGTTATTTTGTATTAAATGGCTCTTTGAAAAGCAATTTCCTGGGCTTTATATTTAGAATTCGCTTTCCGCCCGGCATATCCCTGCCCTGGTCACTATAATGAAGCATTTTATGTTTTTTTTGCGTACCTGCATCAACCGCCCACTAAGCTGATCTTCTAGCGAGGGGGTGGACGCTTAAATAGTGGATTGACTGTATTTACATTACACCTGCCTGTTGTACTAAAAATGGTCGATTTTACGATGCAAATTTTCTCTCCATTTGCACTTGAGAAGCATTAATATAACCACACTACTCCCACGGACTTCGGCAGAAGGGGCAAGAATTTACCCCCTCACCACACTTTGAATCTTTTGAAGCTAAGGTCTTTATTTTTACGTTAAACACACATTTCTACTGGCGAATAAAACAAGAATGCAGCGTGGATCTAGGTATTTGATCATCAAGAAGTTTTTATGCCAAACAGACGTCAGTTGATTATGAAAAGGTTACGAACGTTTTTCTGACGTAAACCCAATATGGTTTGATGCGTTCTATTGGCCTTAAAACAAGGGGGGAGTTAACTTGTGGCTCCACAATGATCTCAGAAGCACATTAGGCATTTGAAATAAACGACAAAATTTTTTATCATAAACATGTTTCGACTTGCATTAAGTCATCTTCAGTATAAGAATGAAGTAAAGTTGTTTACAATGCTGAATTTATCGTAGGATGCTTGATACGTGTTAATAATTAAAAGGAAAAGGTGTGATAAAATATTAGTGATATTTACACGGCAAATATCATGAGTGTGATAGAGACGAATTTGAATATTTCCAATTGGAAAATTTGTTTGTTAAGATTAGGCTTGAGTTTTTTTGATGTACAGTGCTTCTTTAATTTTAAAGAAGGAGTTCAGCATGTCAATACTATCTTTAACTTGTAAATACTTGACACCTCTAACACTACATAAGTGTAAATAACTTCCGTTTCCATCCCTTTTGTCTATACACATGTCTTGCATCAGATTTATTTATATATTAACTCCATTCAAATATTCATTCATTATACCGCACTGGAAATGGCATAAGTTTGCCGAAACATGTCTGCAATAAAAAATTTAAAAAAAGTTGTCGTTTATGTTAAATGTATAATTTCAATCGTGTTATTGGAAAATAGTGTTAAAATGTTGAATTTGTTTGTTAAGATCGGGTGTTTGTTTGCGTGTGTCTAAGGCTTCTTTGAGTTTTAGAGAAAATTGAGTGTAATGTTCAAATTTGTCTCTATCACACTTATGATATTTGCCGTGTAAATATCACTAATATTTTATCACACCTTTTCCTTTTACTAATTATCATGCATCTATGATAAATTCAGCATTGTAAACAACTTTACTTCATTCTTATACTGAAGATGACTTAACGGAAGCCGAAACATGTTTATGATAAAAAATTTTGTCGTTTATTTTAAATGCCTAACTTTTTTTCGCGATTAATGTTGAAAAATTAAAGAAAAGGTTTCCGTTTACGTGGCGGCCCGATTTCTTCTTCAATTATACTCAGTCATGGGAAACGAAGCGAGCATATACATTCTATTGGCTTATTTATTGAATCCTGCAGTTGTTTTTTGTAATGGGGGCATGTTTAGATGTGTAATTTATAACTTAACCACCAGTTGTTTGCTACCCCCAAACAACCACCAGTTGTTTGCAAACAACCACCAGTTGTTTGCTACCACCAGTTGTTTGAGGATTTTAGACAAAATAGTTTTTCGTTCATTTCGGTGTAGAAATAAGAGGCGTTGCAGAAAAGATCAACGACTCATTTATAGATTGCTCGACAGAGAAAAGTTTCTCTGGTAAGAAGTGCTTGTTTTAAACATAAATATGACTTTTATATTCTCATAACACTGGTCTGAAAACTTGAAGAAGAAGTTATTTATACGACCACTTAAAACTGACGACATTGGACTGCCTACTCTGATTATTTTGCATTTAATTACTTGCTTGCTCACGTCTGCATTACGTGTTTTTGCATTTTGACAGATATAAAGAGTTGACGATCACGGCAAATTTATCATTTGGCTTGTAACATTAAAGAAGTGGAAGGTTGTTAAGGTATGATGGACGATTTTATCCCTGAAATTCTGACGTATAATTTCATTACACCAGTGACTTTTTTTCTTATTTAGATTTATTTTAAACACTATCGCTGTTGTCGCTGACTATACTAAACACTGAGTATCGCTGTTTACTTGAGGTTAGTCTGTTGTATTTCGAAGTCGTTTATGTTGCTTCAAACGGCAGTAAAAGACTGCTTTATATTTTGTGGTGTTTCTTTGCCTCGTCTTTTTCGTAAACAGATTCACTTAATCGTTTGGTAGTCTTTCTCTACATACACGCCTTGATGTTAAATGTCGCCGTTTCAAAAGCACCTCGCTCTTGTTTTAATTTACACAGAAACGTGCCTTCCTATAATTGCTTAGTAATTTAATTTGATTAAATTTTATCTCCTGAACTCCTCAATATTTCAGCGTTAATCTTTCAATTTCATAATATCCGCTAGAATTGTTTACCAACAAGCTGTTTCACGTGTAGTTATTAAGGCGAATTTAAAAATTTAAAAACAGTTTGATATCATTGTAAAATATAAACGAGAAACTTTTCTTGCGCATTGCATATATAAAGAAATCATTTTACATTTCTTTCTATTTCTCGATTTAGGGACTGTTGAACGAGGGTAGTTTATACAGTCTGCGACGCATTTAAAAACAAATTTGACTGCAACGTTGAACTTATCTATTTTTCAGAGAACGTATTTTCATTAAAAAACAGGGAGTAGAGCGTCTCTGCACGATGTATAAATATTATTTCACCTGTTATTGATTAGTGGCATGTGAAAAGAACTGCGTATTTTCTCAGAACTCAGCTTATGCAACAACATTTCCGACTTCTTGTTGTTGTAATCATGTTCAAGTGCTGTTTTGATAATTTCTTTTGTTTTTCGTCAGTAGGAACACGAAATTCTTCATTATGGAAGAAGCGAATTTGTCAAGTGCCAATCTTGATTATCTACCTGATAATATATCATCGAAAGAGCCTGTGTCAGATGTTTTAATGAAAGTCCATGCATTTCAAAATTTGGACGACGGTGACAACCTGAGTACAGACCAGACTTCTGAAGATTTGGAGAAAGCCGATTCAGACGTTGAGAAATCTTCTGTGTCCAGTTCTGTTTTGCAAACTGGCGAAATGATTCATTCTGATGATGAGAAAAATAATGACGAAACTTCTCCAAGTACTGCATCAACTACATTAACTTTGAATGAAAACGGTCTTGACGAAGATGTCGCTGGCAATTCTGATGTGGAACAAAACGAAGAACGAAGGTCTAGAAGGAAGTCTGCGGTATGTTTTGAATATTCTGTGTTGTTGGTTAGGAAAAAAATTACGACTTCCAAGTAGTATCTTGATAAAAGAATGAACTTTGACTTTCTGTAAAAGGTAAATATTTTCATTCTAAGAGATTCATCGAGTACTTCATGTCATTGAAGTATAAAGACTTATATAGACGCCCTTTTTACGCATGCATAAATAATTAAAATTCATTTTCGCGAACGCTTTTGTGACGACTTGCTACAAAATCACATAATTTGTCGATGGTAACAACCGCCCTCTCAGATGTTCATAATCGTGTAGCTACACGATTGTAAAGATTTCCACCAACATACTCGTTGCTTATTAAATCTGCCTGATAAGTTATTAAATTGTGAAATCATCTACGAGTTTTGAGCATATTTAACGTTCGATAATCGTGTGAAATCCTCCAAATGCCGCGCTTCCTATGAACTGAAAATTTACCGTTAAGTACTATGAAAATGACGTGCAATGGGTAGAAAATTGTCATGTTGTTTGCAATAGTAATTTTCAAAAGCTGTCGTATTCTGCGGATGATGATCTCATTGTAGTTCTTATCGAAACTAGTTGATGATAAAAATGTTCAATTTTATGAAGAGATTTGCAAAATTCATTCATTTTCGTCTATTAAAGATTATCATTCATTCAAAATTTAGGTAAGCAATTTGACATCAATGATGGTCGCCTGTAAAGATGGAAATTATCGCGTTGTTCAAAAACTGTTTGAAAAAGGAGCTTCGGTTTCAGAAACTGATATGGTTAGACGTTCTGGAATTTTGTTTTTTTCTGATTTTGTGACGATTTTGTATTTTTCATGAAAACGTGAACTTCATGTAAACGTTTATTTAGCACGGGATGACGCCTCTTCATTACGCTGCGTTGTCCGGCTCCGAACCCATCGTCAAATTTCTAGTATCAGAACAAAAGGATTCAGTTTTGGCGACAAACGTAAGTTCCTTCACGTTCAATTATTTGGGAAATATTTTAAAAGCAGTTTTCTCATCGTTATATTTCTGTGTATATGGATTTGAAACATGTTCGGGTTTTCGTTTTTTTTAGTCTTGGTGTTCAGTTTGTTTTGTGTTCTTTTTTGTAGGACGAAGGTCAGACTCCATTACATCTTGCATGTACTCACAGCTCACACGCTTTTGCGATTGTGAAATTATTAGTGAAAGACAATGGCGAAGAAGCGAAGCTAATAACAGATGCTGTAAGATTTGCTTTTTTTGTGGCTCCTATGATTGGCTTTTGACCTTTAAAGTTGTACACATTAATGCATAATGCATAATTGAGATTTGTCATGAATGCGCGGGCATTGAAATGAATATAAGTAGAACGCTACGTTTTCCTGTGTGTGTTTTGAAGGTACACAGCTTCCTCTCCTGTCTTTTCAAGCAAATGAAACACACCGCCATTCAATTTCTTTATAAAACGCTATTGTTGAAACGTCTAAATAGATTTTTTTAACATCATTGAGCCAGGCTAGACATTCTTGAAGTGAAATTGAATCATTGTTTGGAAATGCGGGATAAAAAATCTCTTTCTTTGACAAGTTAGTAGATAAGATGCAGCTTTGTCACACTTTTGTCACAGAGCTCTTACCCGTGCCAGTTAGTTTCCAGTCCCCTGAAGTTGATCGGTGCGCGCGCATGTCAACCGGAAATAGGGTTTAATAAACATGGCATGGCATTGGATGGCGTGAAAATCGGAAATACGACAAAGCTGGAAGTTGCATGCTATTGACAAAGTAACATTAGAGCCGCCTTATGTTTTATTGGTTAATAAACCGGATCTATGTCATTGTGTATTCATTCTTCAAACTATATAGTCGAACTATCGTCTTAAAAAAGTGTTATTTGCGTTGTTTATTATTGCATTGCTTTTGGACGTTTTGAAAAACAAAAATATGGCACACATGTTTAATCAGATATATGCAGACACTGTTGAGTTTGAAGAAGTTAGTCACAGTGATCTTATCAATTTGATTTTCGTCGATTTTATAAGTAAAAAGATTCAAGAGCTACGAAGAGCTGAAAAGGATGAAAGTAAAGCAGACCCTTGGACGGAGTATCAAAACGTTTTAGAAATGATGGCTGAGGAAGATCGGTGGTTCAATTTTGCAGCTCGTGCAGTCGAAACAATCAATCGCGAACATGTCTGGAATGGAATATGTGAAGCCTTTAAGTTTCTAAAGTACAGTGGACCTTCGAACTCTCACAAGACATATTTTGACAAACTGTTTAGTGTTACTTGGGTAGAACTAATGTTAATGTACACGGAGACAAAACGTCCTCCTTTTTATCAACATCTCTTTGACTATGCTGATTGTAGTTGTAAACTGAAATACAGATCAACTATGTAATTGCTTTGACAAAAAAATAAAATATAAATTTCAATGTTATTGCATTTTGTCTTCAGTTGTTTTATGACCATGTCATTGTGAAAATGGGGATCGGTAGCAGCAAACGTGAAAATAGAAATGCAAAAAGGGATAAAAATCATAATCGTCAGAAAATGTTTCGCTTGGGTATAAGTTTCGGACGCAACGATCTCAATCTTGAGGGTCATTTGCAAGCAGGATACACAAGTAAAACTGTTAAAATTATGGACCCGCCGCAATTAAACTTCCAACAGATAATGCGATAGAAGAAACACTGCCTGTAACTGAAAACATTGAACCCATCGATAATGAGTAGTTAAAAGAAATTGACATCTAATTACAAAATTATTATCACGAGAACATTGTCATGAGTAACGTTGACCAGTACTTAGCCGGTGTATACTTCATTCCAAAACGCCCTGGAAGCTACGGAGGTGTTGAACGTTTGTACCGCGATGTAAAGGCAGAAGGAATATATGACATTAGTCGTGAAAGAATTAAAGAATGGCTCATGCAACAAGACGCATACTCTTTGCATAAACCTATTCGAAGAAAGTTTGAAAGAAATCGTGTCGTAGTGAGTGGTATTGACGACCAGTGGCAATTGGATCTTGCAGACATGCAATCTTTGCAAAAGTATAATGATGGTTATCGCTATCTTCTTATCTGTATTGATGTTTTTCCAAATATGCATGGGCTGTTCCATTAAAAAGAAAACAGGATCGTCGTTGGTAGAAGCTTTTAAAAGATTTTGTCATCAGGACGTAAACCGACACACATTCAAACGGATCAAGGCTCGGAGTTTTTTAATCGAGACTTTAAGAAACTTTTGGCAGAAGAAAACGTTACCTTGTTTAATACATTTAACGAGACGAAGGCATCCATCGTTGAACGTTTGATACGTACACTGAAAACTAAAATGTGGCGCTACTTCACAGCAAACAAAACAATGAGATACATTGACATGCTTCCTGATCTACTGTATTCTTATAATCATAGCATGCATCGCAGCATTAAGGAAAAACCGATCAACGTTACAAGTGAAAATGAAGATAGAATTCGGCAAAATTTATATGGTGATAGCAAATTAAATAAACCTACGCATGTAAATTATAAGTTTGATATAGGCGACCAAGTACGAATAAGTAAAATAAAACGAAAGTTTGAGAAGGGTATTTACCGAATTTTTCAAAAGAAATTTTCACTGTAAGTCAAAAATACCACGCAATCCTCCTGTATACAGACTGAAAGATCATGAAGGGACGAACTTCAAGGAACATTTTATGAAAAAGAACTTCAAAAAGTCATCAAGAAAGACGATGTTTATGAGATTGAAAAATACTTAAGAAACGTGGTAGAGGGGCAATGTACAATATTTTGTAAAGTGGTCTGGCTACCCTAACAAATTTAATTCATGGGTACCAGCATCGGAAATACATATATAAAACGTAACCGTTTTCATGATTTTTCATTTCACATTATACCTTAAAGATGAGCGGGACACACTTCTATCTGACATTACCTAGTAATGCATCTCTCTGTATTTCCTGAGAATAAGATTTCAGGTTATCGCGTAAAACTACCTCACGTTGTGAATTTAAATGGTAATTGGGAAGTAGGATTGTATTCAATTACATATCCTCATACATGGTACACGTTGAAAAAAGGTTTGGATACACATATATATGTAACTCACAAAACAGGTCTACCTACTCCGGTATTTGTCGACTATGGCCTGTATGAAAAAGCCTTCGACCTAGTAAAATCAGTTAATGAGACTCTTGACAAAGAAGTAAAAGACAATATCAAATTGAGCTTTGACCCCCGAACAGAAAAAATTAAAGTGCATGTAAGACAGGGTTACAAAATATCATTTAATCAACGAATGTCGGTCTTACTCGGTTTTGGCGGAAAAGACGTAGAGATTTTAAAAACAACCGAAAGCCCTTATGCTTCTGATTTGCACGGATCCGTCATGATGTATGTATATTGCAACATTGTACAACCGCAAGTTGTTGGAGACGTCAATGTAAAATTACTAAAGGCAGTTACCATTCAAGGAAAATATGGAGACATTGTTTCAAGAACATTCACTAATATCCAATACATACCCGTGCAAACAAAATCTTTTGAGGACATCGAAATTCTCTTAAGGGACGAGTTAGGAAACCCCATCGCATTTGAACGAGGGAAGTCGATAGTGACACTTCATTTCAGAAAGCAAGCTTCGTCTTATTTTACATAAGAAATATGACTTTAACAAATCGCTATGTTTATTATTATCTCAATCAACAACGAGGATACGGTTCATCACCAGTGTTTAAAGGAGCACCATGGCAAAGAGGATATGGGCAAGTGGGTTATGGTCTTGGTGGCTTATTTCGCAGTTTGGCTAGAGCTGTAATACCTCTGGCAAAAAGCGGTGCAAAAGCCCTGGGTAAAATTGCTCTTAACACAGGAGCAAACGTTTTATGAGATGTTATCTCCGGGAAAAGTGTGAAAGAGTATGCAAAATCGTGAGTAAATCAGGCTGCTAAAGATGTGGGGAAAATGGCTGTAATCAGAATGCAGCAGTTTGCTCGAACAGGAAGAGGAAAGTCTTCAAAGAAATGGTCAAGAAAATTAGCTAAAAAGAGAAAGGCGACGACTTCCATTGCCATTCACAGTTCAGTCAAGACACGTAAAGCAGCTAAAGAAGCAGAGGACATTTTCGGCTAAATATGGATTTCGTTCATCCAAAATCTGTAGAATGTAAAAAAACCGAACTTGATTTGTTTTCTGTCCCACCAACACAAGTCAGTTTAGAAAAGGGGCATTGGATTGATCATCAACCTGTGTCCAGCGTATTTGAAAATGGACCAATTACATTTTTAGCCCCCGGCACAGAAGATTATGTTGATATGTCTAAGACAATATTGGTAGCTAGAGCGAAAGTAACAAAAGCCGATGGTGGGGATATCGATGATGACACTAAAGTTGGACCTGTAAACAATTTCTTGCACAGTTTGTTCAAGCAAGTTGACGTGTTTCTAAAAGGAAAGTTAGTTACACAAGCAACAGGAACATATCCATATCGTGCATATCTCGGCACACTTTTAAATTATGGTCCGTCAGCCAAACAATCACAGCTCACCGCTGCGTTATTTTACAAAGATACTGCAGGTCAGATGGATAATGCAGATCCTGCTCACGCAAGTCCAAACAGGGGTTTGAAGACAAGAAATAAGTTTATCATGGGAAGTAAAATTGTTGATATGGCAGGTCCTATCTTTTGCGATGTTTTCTTTGGTGAACGTTACTTACTTAGCTATGTTGATTTGAAAGTGGTCATGAACCGTACCAGTGACGAATTTGTCTTAATGTCATCGGTGGACGGTGCAGCCTTTAGAGTGAAACTGATAGATGCATACCTTAAAGTTCGTAAAGTCAAAGTGAATCCTAGTATATCTCTGGCTCACGAAGTTGCCCTGAAAAAAGGTCCAGCCATTTACCCTGTAAGACGTGTGGACTGTAAAAGTTTTATTATTCCTTCTGGAAACCCTTCGCTGCAAAAAGATAACCTTTTCAATGGTTTAGTGCCTAAATCGTTTGTTTTGGTCTTGTTGAAAGTGCGTCATTCAATGGAGCTTATAAAAGAACCCATTCAATTTCCAACATTTCAACATTTCATCGTTAGGCATTTCAATAAATGGTGAATCTGTACCATTTAAACCAATCAATTTGTCCTTTGGCGCGAATCCAAGATTTATAGAAGCATTTCTATCGCAGTTTTCAGGCACTGGGAAAATGTATTACGACACAGGCAATGGCATTACGCGTGAAGATTTCCC